CCCTGCGAGCCTTCGTCAGTGACCTGTTGTTGCTCCTCCAGAGCCTGTCGCAACTGCTGGTTCTCCTGGATCAACTCAGGATCCGACGGCGCATTGCTCGATGTCGATGCTTGCATGACATTGACGTTCATGCTCTTCTGACGCATCTCCTCCAATTGATCCCTCAGGTCCCTTATCTCGTTCGCGTGACCGTCTCTGATACGGTCCATATCGTCTTGAATGCGATCATGCTCGTTTCGCAAACGATCATAGTCATTCCGAGCGTGAACCTGATCTCCTTGGGCGCGGTCAAGCTCCTGTCTTAACGAATCGTTGAGGCCCTGAGCATCTGCAAGCTGGTTTTCGAGATTTGTGCGCAAATCGGTCCACTCTTGCTTTTCCATGTTGTTGGCCGAGGCACGGGACCGTTCGCCATCGAGCACGCCAGCCAGCTCATCATCTTTTCTCTTTACTGCCTCTTCCATGATGTCGAGGCGTTCAGTCAGATCCTTGACCTGATTCCGATATTCCTCAAGCATTTTCTTGTCAGCCTGTTTTGTGCTGTTAGTATCTTCCCAGTTAACTCGTGCAGCAGAAGGCATGAGTTTGTTACCTCAGAGGTCTCCGTAGTCCGCTGGCTCTTATCACTTGTCCTGTTGCCATTTTTGTCCAATCCGAAAGCGTCGCGATCTTCGTCGTTATCTGGGCTGCCGTCATCATCCTCCTCCACCATGGTGCTCTTGTTCGGGACAATGGTGTTGCTCTGAAATTGCTTCTGCATCGGACGGCCATAGTCACCGTTGGGCAGACCTGGTGATGGAGGAACGCCATATGGGTCTTGGGGAGGCATAGCACCGCGGATGGAACTTGCATCGGACGGCCGTCTCATACGGCTTTGGTTTCTTGGCGGGAAGCCGTTCTGCATACCACTCAGCGGCGTGCCCGATCGGCTGGGCGGTACGCGCATCGACATGTTGCTGCCGGGACGCGGGATATCCCCTGCTGCAAAGCGAGGATACCTCCTTTCCAACTCGACATAAACGTCTGTTGCCAGATCTCTGAAGCGAGGAGGGCCGAGCGAGGAGAGCTTCTGGCGCGCCTGGTTGCGTTTGGGGTGGAATGTTTGCTCGGGTGTGAGGTAAGGAGGAGGACCCTGACCATTTGGGCCAGGCGGCCGGCGCGCGAGGGCTTGCCTCCTAAGCAGTTCGTCAAAGACATCAGTACTGAGCTCAAGGAACTGCACGGCAGACAAGCGCAACAGCTTATCCTGGGCCTTGTTCAAAGGCTTGCTTGTGTTTCCGTCGCGTCCGCTCAAGTAGTCCTTTAAGGCAATGTAGTGTTGTCCCAATACCGCCTCCACATGCTCTTCCCGTTGACTCCTGCCACTCTCACTCCGCGCGTATAGGTTAGTGCCATTGCTTGATCGGCCGATAGAAGGCGGCGGCGAGGGGCCGCCAGTGCTTCGAGGACCGGATGAGAATCCACCATTCATGACCCCGTTCGAACCGCCAGAATTGGGAGGAGAGACGAGATTCCCTCGGTTGAAGCCGTCGTCGGCCATAGATTGGTACTTGTCAATGCCGGACCATTCGCTTCCGCCTACTGAGACTGGGGACAGTGGCGCATTTCGTCCATTCATGGTATACTGGGTGGTCGAGGAGGTGGGCGTGACGACGGGTCAAGCAGGTAGAACTCGTCGCGAGTCAAAGATGGCGTCGGAATATTTGAACAAAGGCAAGCTAGGTTGTAATTACTTGTGGCTTGGGGTTGGGTTGCTGCCGTGTCGCCTTGCTTTTTTCCTCTTGGGTGCCGATCGGTCAAGTACAAGCTGCCAAGGGGCTCCGCAACGCGTTGCCGGTGTAAAGGAGGAAAAATGAAACAAATCGATGGTGATGACGAACAGAATGAGGCTGGGACCAAGGGCGTGAGGGCAGGAGATTTCGAAGTTGTGGAACGTTGCAGTGCTGGTCAGGGTGGTTGCTGGACTTCGGAATGTCTCGTCTCGACTCGTTGCCTGTGGCTGGGGGGGGATCGAGGGTGGGTGGAATCGATAACAAGATCCCAGGTGAATCTCGATTTGCGTTGCTGCGGGACTCACAACTCCTAGAATGGAGTGCAACGACGCCCTGGGCTGCCGTGATCGCGATGCTAAACAGTGAGTACCCAAGGCAGACCGAAATGACAAGAAGTTGAGAAGTTGCCGGAGCCGTTGGATGGATCTGGGAACTCGAGAATCCGCGACGGCGTGGTGAAGCATGAAACGTCAACCAAGTCCAACAGGGGAAGTGCGACCAAACCTCCAATCAGAGGCCACTTGAGCCAAGTTCAGAGCGGGTGGGGACGTCCAGAGATCTCGCGGGAAATGAGGCTACAAGTCTCGATAAGTATCCTCGGGCCCCTATGCGCCCGTACCATGGTGGGCGACCTGAAGTCAGGTACAGCAAGTATACTCAGCCCCGTTACTCCAATCTTATTCGTCCCCTTCAACCTCGTCACTTCTCCTTCTGGATGCTTCCCAGGGCCTCCCAGGGCAGGGACCAGGCCCTCCCCAGTGCCATTTCCAGCTTCTCCCTCTCTATGTCACTGTCACAAGTCAGCGACCGTCCCGTCATTTTAGCACCACCGTAATTCAGACATAGCCTCAATGCCGATGCATCTAGTCTAACGCCAACATGACCAGCAGCTTTTGCATTCATCTCAACAGGCATACTCGCTTCGACGGGGTAAACCTGCACTGACAGTCGATCTTCTGACTCGTGGCGAGGGCGTGAGCACCAGTATACATACCCCTTTCCCATGCCCCTCCTACACCGTCTTTAGCGTAATTCGAAGCCGCCAACCATCGGAGCAGTTTCCAGCCCCCTCTCCCCTTCTGCCCTCCGGCCTTCTGCCCCTTAGAAAAGACGGCCTGCAGGGAACGATGGTTCAGGGGAAATCCAGGGCACAGGACATGCCTATTGGTCTGGCCCGTTCGATTTTCCCGCGCGCGCTAACAGACAAGCAGGGGCGCCAGTGTCTGTGAGTGCAGCAGCCAAGAAAAGGCCTCCCTACTGGTGCAGCACAGCGACAGGATTTACCCTGCCTCGCCCTACCGCCTGGTGAGCTGTATGTACATGTACATCACTTGTCTACTAACCCCATGGACTCGCCCTCATATCCCTCTACAGTGGACAACCGCCTTCGCCGACTTGTCAACTGCGACTGGCCAGGATAGCAACGATGCCCCGTTCCTCCGTCACGTCTGGATTGTCCCTTTCGAGCTTGACGAAAGCTGGAGCGTAGGATCTCCAGGTCAACCGTTTGATTGCTGTCGTCAGCCATGTCGCCTAATTAGACTGAACGTACTTTTTTCTTGACAAGGGGGCAGGAAGCCCGGCGGAAGCGATGGCTTTGATGCCCTGCCGTGGCGGCAGACGGGCTACTGTATCAATCCCCAACAAGCGTTGAGTGTCTATGTGGTCTCCGAATCGCTCTCGCTCATCCGGATACGGCCATGTTGCCGACATTGTCTCCGGCTGTGGCTTGTTGCGGTCGTGCAAACTGCCGATACAGACCGCATTGTTTAGTTCACGGCACCGAGAAGGTTTATCGGATCTGACGGGCCCGGTGCCCGCATTCGATCGTTCCTTGCGCCAGAGCTCGTCAATCGCTGTGGCATCTCGGCTTATAGTTAGCGATCAAAATATCCGCTTGCAATGCGGCAGTTCGAGCAGCGATGGTGCATCCATGAGAGTGATGCGTCGTGCGAAGCCATCATAGGCGACTCTGACGATCGATCGTGCACGCCATGCAGCCACTCGCTCTACACGCACTGGCTTGAAGTTGTCTGAGAACAACCCACGCATAGGACAATCACGTTGTCTGCCAAATTTCGTTCGGACACTAGATGCACGTAAGTCCCCGTGAACCTGGGAAGTGTGAACCCCTTTTGCGTTCTCACCACCCTCGATCTCGTCTTTACACGTCAGCAAGGCTATCTCATTTTCAACTCTGCCACAGGTTGGATCTTCTCTCAATATCTTCAACTCTTTCGATCGCTCGCCAACTCGATCATGACCATAATTGAACTCAGTTGGCCAAAAGTTGTCCAGCCACACTTGTGCTGTCCACAGTCGTTGCGGTCTGCCTATCTCACTGGCCGGGAAACACTGCTGAGCACGAGGAAACTACTCTCGAACCCGAGACCTCCTGTCTGACGCTTCGGATATCCTGGCATACGTCCATTGCATGTTTCATCAAATGTTGAATCGCATCTTGCGTAGACTTATCTATTTGTTGCATCAAAGGGTATCGTCACTACGAGATTCCGCCAAGTTACGCCTATCTAGCAGGCTTGAGGATGGTGGGGCGATCCGAACCCGCGGCTTCGTATGTGTCGGGTTCGGGGCTGACCCGAGATTTGCGAAGACGCGAGCGATCGTACTTCTGCATCCACCAGTCGCTGGCAGAATAAGCTGGTGGGCTTTTCGTCATGGCGGATGATATTTAAGGAACTTACCCGGCAGGGTGGTGGGTGTTTTGTTTCCCTGTGATTGAACTACTTGACCAAACGTGGCCCACGAAGTGCTGGACGACTCGCACCTTTGTTCATGGTCTTCGCAAGTCCCGCAGGTTTCTAGGCGTGCTTTCCACCATCCATCATGTCCGACAACGATCAAACAAGTGGCGCCGGCGGCAAAGAGATCGATTTTGTTCTGTACTATTACGAGCCTGCGCTTGCTGCTAGCATCACATCGACAGTTGTCTTTGCTATTCTGACAGCACTGCATGTATGGCGTCTGCTTCGGGCTAAAGCTTATTATTTCACTGCATTCACGGTTGGTGGTCTATGTAAGTTCAGCCCATATTAACTCGTCCCCGACACGGGACTTGTCCTCATCACTCTTTGGCACGAATAGAAAGCGTTGATGACCAGCAAGATGATTATTCGCATCACTTAACTAATTTGCGTTCAATCTATAGTTCAAGTAGTTGGCTATGCATTCCGAATCTGGGGGTCACTTCGACCCTGAAAGTGTCATGGCCTTCGCCATCCAGGGCACTTTTATCCTCGTGGCCCCCGCTCTCTTCGCCGCCTCTATCTACATGATTCTTGGACGCCTCATTCGCACCTGCCGTGCCGAGCACCTCTCGCTCATTCCGGTGAACTGGGTCACCCGCATCTTCGTTGCGGGCGACGTCATCGCCTTCACAGTCCAAGCCAGCGGCGCCGGCCTCTCTGCTGCCGGGACTACGACCTCTTCAGCTCGGCGAGAAAGTTATCATTGGCGGTCTATTCGTCCAGATCGTCGTTTTTGGCTTCTTCGTCTGCACATCGGTGCTGTTCATACCGTCTGACGAGAGCCCCACGCTGTCTCGATCGAGGTCGTCTGCCGTGAGAGCACTGTACGTGCTGTACGGAACCAGCGCCATCATCCTCGTGCGTAGCATCTTCCGTGTCATCGAGTACATCCAGGGTAACGACGGATACCTCATCACCCACGAGGTCTACCTTTACATATTTGACGCGCTGCTGATGGCCGCCGTTATGGCCATCTTCATTGTGTGGTACGTTGGAGATCTCGAATCGAAAAAGAAGCGCAAGGGGGCCAACATGGATTCCTTGCACTCGAGTGACGGAATCGTGGAGATGGGCAGCAGGGGTGCGTAAAGCTCCTCGAGGCGGCGAAGTCCAGTGCTGCCTGGCCAATCGGTTGGCGGGAGAAGGGACCACCCAGACGAAGATCATGAGGCCGGCATGTGTGGTCATCCGTCTACGGGTTCTACGGGTCTTGGTGATTCCGACTGGCGAGCGCGACCGGTCTGTGAGGCCAGTGTAGAGTGCGAGCCCGCCTTGTATCCAAGCCGCGATTTGTGTAAGACAGCAGCACAATGGCTTCGCTACGAGTCTTTCCTATCGCCGTTTGATGATGGTGATCTGCGTATACACGATAATTGACTGCTTGTGTTCGAGTCAACCATATATATCATAAATAAACCCTGGTATCATGATGTATTTACCCGCTTATCTCATTCCGACCGAATCCCAACCTCCTATAACGCCGCGCTCGTATCACACAAAAGAAGCAGAATCATGCAGCTCTAAAACCATGCCAGCGTCCACAACGCAGGCAAATGCGGCCAGCGGTCCTGCCAAGCGGCCAGGATATCAGGCACCTGCTCGTCAAAGCTAGCACGGGCGCCAGCGCTGCCACTGTCAAAATTGGCCGCACCGGCAGATTGTCGTGACTCCGTGGCGGCAGCGTTAAGCGTGTTGGCCAGGTCTAGGATGGCGCGGCCGCCAACGCTAGCCTCCTCATGGTTGTCCTTGATGTCCACATTGATGACATGTACCGGGCGATTCATAGGTGCCCCGCGCGCCATGAGGTCGTCAATGACAGCATCCCAACACCTCTCTTCACACGTGATTACAATGTCGACGATGCCACCCTCTACACCCTGGCTGCCACGGTCATCGGGCTTGTCAAGGCGCGGCATGCCGACCTGCCAGTCTTGCCATCGTTCAGGACCCCACTTGACGTTGCGATTGCGGTCAACCATGTTGAGTACGCCATTTTGTACGTACAGCTTGGGGTCCTTGGACTGAAGCTCCCGGTAAATACTGTCGTAGGATGTCTTGTTGAAGTGGTACACATTAGGCTGAGTGATGGATGGTCCAGGCAGGCGCACAAGAGAACCGGTGCCGAATGATATCACGGGGTAATTAGCCTCGGCAAGGCGGAGGTGGGACACCATAGATCTTGGTAGAATTAGCAAGACAGCCTTCTGTGTGTATTAGGTGAGGGCAGCATACCTGTTTTGATTACTGGCGCAGACCGTGCAGAACTTCAGCTTGAATCCTCCGGATTCGGGCGTCTGTTCACCATTGCCACTTGGCGCAACGGTCTGCGCTGTGCCGTTTGTTGTCTCCATGCTTTGATGTTTGAAGAGTTCAACAGACACTCTCGGGGTCGTGAGGGTACCGTCGTACGCTGCGAATCACGGGCAGCACGAGAAATCTGATACGTTCGGGTCAGCAACGTCGCGCGAAAAACGTGGTATCGGGTAAGAGGAAAGAGCGCAATTGAGCATAGTTCAGAGGTTTTAGCGTAAGGTAATAGTGTGTCAACACGAGGTTCAGACAGCTCCAATAAAGAAATTCATCACGAAAGCTCGAGAGGGGATTGATGTTTTTCCGGGATGGGGTTTCATCATACCTGACTCAATTACCTCCACTGCGAACGTTGTGCCATAAAGGATGTGTTACGAATATTGCAGCGAGCTTCACGACGCGAAGCGACTGGCGATGCACAAGATTGAGTTGGGAGAGAGAGGAGACCGAGAGTTGAATTTTGTTGTCGGGATAGTGTGGATGTTGCGTTGGGTCGGTGACGAGGTGTGCATAGCGTGATCTGGTTTCGGTTAATTCTCGCTTGAATCTGATTGCTTTTCTTCCCTTCCAGAGCGGTTCGCTTAGGTCATCACACTGAGTGCAACCCCCACCATAAAAGCATGCACGAAATGCTGGCTGGCGGTCTTTGATTGCCAATGCCTAACGGGCTTTTGCTTGCAGACAACCTGAAACCAATGGTCGCTCGAAGAAGCCAATCAGAGCTACTGATCTGGCGGGTCCAGGTCAGCCTCCTAAAATAGATTCACGATGTCCCTCGACGAGGTACACAAGTAGCTTCTTTGAACCATCACATTGCATCTTTGTCATAAAAACAAGAAAGCTTTGCCTGAGAGGCACAACTTGGCTCTCGTTAATCGTGTCTTCTGAAGATCGATCTCTGCCTTCGAATACCTTTCAGAACAGCCCATGTTTTGGAGTGACCGGTACGTAAGGCTTGCGAAGTCACCACATTCACCTTGTAACCCTATACTCGGCTTGATATTTAAAGCCATTGTAACCGTTCGTGACCACGTTCAAGTCCAGCATGAAGGCCTTCTGTTGTCGATCGGCCCACCACGTTAGTGGGTCATGTTTTCTGCTTCCAGAAGCACAGTATGCTAGTAGCTGACTTTTGAAAAAGCAAAGAAGGCTGGCTGGACGGGAATTCAAGAGCTGCTGGCGTTTCTTGGCCTCGTGATGCTTTCAGCGCCAATCCTTCCAGTGTACCTAAGCACGGCAGGACATCAAGTAGCACCAAACACTTGTGCGAACAGCGAAAACCGAAATACTCCAGCGGAAAGTGCTCCGGGGCGAAGAAACCTGTACTTCACCGCAGCACTTTGCTGCCACGCAGGGCAAGCCAGGCGGCATGGCGGAGCAACAAGAGCAGGAAGCTGATGTCAAGTCGCAATGCAGGGATCCGCTAATTGCTCTCCACCAGCAAGTTGACCCGACATTGGCAGGATTCGTAGTTAGAACCATGTGATTCGCGCAGGGGACTTTTGGCACCCCATGCGGCACTGTGGGCGGACCATGCGCCGTCTGTTGCGTGCTGGAGTTCTGCTCAAGCTCCCGAGGCCATCCTCTGGTCAATGGCCGAGAGAATCTGGCCTGGGTTTGCTTAGCAAGGTTCCCTTTGACCCAAAGATCAAGATATAGGCGCAAGACAAGACTAACTAGTTCCTTTGTCGTCGCCCGGTTCACTGGTACATGGCGAGTGTTCCTCGACGTTTCTAGCTTTGAGGGAGAAATTGTGCTCATGGCGAACCGTGCGCCGTAGATGAGCTGAGAGGCAAGAGGAGGGGCAGAAATAGAAGATGATGGATGGCTGGGGTTGAGCATCGTCCGATTTCCATGGCGGAGCTACACATATTCATGGGCGGTTGGGCACACACAGAGTGCCGGGCGGCTCAGATGGGCCAGTAAGAGTTCTGCGTGACCGGACGCGCTTAGGTACAGCTCTGGTTCCAAAGACATTCTGCGCGGAACAGGCAGCATAGGTTTGTGGTGGACGACCTATGGTTAGTACAAGGAAT